ACTGCGCGAAGATCAAAATAAAGACCCATTTTCCTACGAGTCTGGTTTCTTCTATTAATAACGCGAGGGTTACAATAAGGCACGAAAAAACCATTTGCGTATTTCACGTCTCCTTTATATCTGTTCCCTTATTTTCTCCCTTTCCTTCTTTAAAGTCAACTCGATATTCTTCTCAATTACACAGAACCTGATTTATTATTATTCTATTGTCACTATTATCTTCTTTTTCTCTATTCGAATATAGCGAATATAATGCTAGCATTATTTAAACTCGTGTATTATTGCACTCTTGAAGAAACCCGAAATGGTTTGTTCACAACACTTATGTACCCAGTAGATGTTTGTGAATAGTAATAGTGATAGTAAGAATAATGATAATAATAATAATCATAGTAGTTAACACCAGTATTGTAGACAACTCTGATACCATTTTTGAACAATTCATCCGCCATTTCTCGCGATGCTGCAACACGAAATGTGAAACCTTTATCATTAGGCTTCTAAAGTTGACATCTCAACATCTATCCACAGTTGATTTAACATCCACCAACATCAAGCAGGCCGTAACCACCATCAAAAGTCTTATGGCGGTGGATCTGATACCATTTCTGCATCATTCGTGAAATACGATAGTACAGAATTCCCAGCATTCCGTGTAAATGTCTTCAACCTACCTATGAACTATGGGGTTTATACATATGTATGGAAAACATCGCTTATCACCCATGGATCCAAAACGGGAATATGTAGCGATATCGCCCACTATATGCCCGTTAACTTGTGATCTATGCTATCAAGGATCATGGAAAAATTCATCCGCAAACAGTTATTTTCATTTTTACTTCCGGCTAGCCTATTTAGCAAACACTAGCGCTTCGACTTGTATCTTGTCAGGTACTGCTGCTTTCTCACTCTTCATTAATCTGATGACCATCTAGATTTCTTCGATCGTTTGGCTTCCAGAATGGATTGGTAATCTGGAAGGAAATAGACAGAGTGTAGACATCTGGATGGCTGTTGGAATTTGTCGTTATTCGAGGGTTTATTGTTTGGATTTGTAGTCATTGTTCATGGAGAATTTCTCATTGTCTATTGTTAGAGGCAAAATCTAAGAAAATGGTTAATTTGGCTGGCGAAGCTTGCTCACATCACTCACCTCCATCTAAGATTCTTGGTTCTATTGTAACTTAACCCTTTCTATATGTATTCGCCTTGTATTACCCGATTCCTAAGTAATTTTAGGTCTAATTTGAAGTGATCAACCACAAATCGATCACTTTTCTACTCAAAAACATATCACATATACTTAAATATTATTATTCAAACTGTTACATTGACTTTTAGAATGTAATTTCTTAATATATAGAAACAATCTCGTCACACGATTTCAACGGATTAGATTGACATTTTATGGTTTCTGATAATGAATGAATTGATAAGATCATGCTGAACGGATGCGACTCAATAGCATAAATATACAGCAAATGTAATTGCTCCTACAATCTCCTGTTTCACTGAGATTCAACAATATAACGCATGGTTATTGATTACGAAAGATTGGTAAACAGCAGAAATACAACTTATTAAATGTATTCCTATAGATTTAGATGAAAATGCCTACATTATTCAAGCATATTTGTTCATAAACACGGTAAACTATCAAATAGAATTGTTAAGACTCTGTAGCAATATGATTACAAGTATAAAGATGTTCGATGTGTAAATACCTCCAACCACTGCTTAACATTCCAACACAGTGCATGCGTTGTCGACTCACCTAAACTAGTGGCTACAATGCTACTTGATCAACAATTATAGAACTAAACAAACATGGGATTGATCGCTTCTCAGAGATCTTACCACAAACCACTAAACTACAATGATAATATCTAATTAGCAGTCCAGCAATTTTTTAGCTATTATTATTATTATTATTATATGCTTTATTCAACATTATATTTGTGGTACACTATTGAATTCTCAGCATAAAGTATTTTAACAAGTTTCTTTTGCTTATATCTTGATCGATCCTGACGATAAATATTGAGTGCTGGCCAATTAGATGTTAGGAGTTCGATAATCGACATCTGAATAATGTTCATTCGTTCCAAAGCATATTACAAGCCACCATGATGTCTCTGGTTGTACCTTTTTGTAATCCGTACAGCGAAAGGTTGTAAACTTTTCGTAAACGCGCACGAAAACGGATAACTTGACGAAATATCTAGATGGGAGGGAACAGGTAGCCCAGATATTCAAGCAGGCCGCCGATTAGCTTATACAAATAATAGAAATTACAACTCCTTCATTATACGGTATAACACAATACATGTTACGTATTACGGCAATTTACCAAAATATGACGAAACTGTATTCACATGAAGATTACCTAATCAACTGCTCAAGCTTGATCTCTAATCCTTCATTCTGCAAACAATTAAAAATCAGTAATTATTGATATTTTCAGATCGCTTGGTATAAAACATAAAACATTATTATAAGGACTACGGCAACATCAACTGGAGCGAACATGCCATTTTAATAACCTTATTCATCGCTAATGATTCGGTGTGTAAACCCATTACGAAAACACCAATCTTATGCTAAATGCACACATGACGAGTCGAATAGACATATGTCTTATAAATAATATGCATACACAAATTCATCAGGAAAGCAAGTGAAAAGACAAACTACAAGTATGTTTATAAGTATGTATTTTATTTTATCGAGAAATTCATTTGCCATAAAAAAGAAAATTAACACAGGTTTGCAGAAAAATAAAATAGTAACATCAAATCATGAAGAATAGGAAGAAAGTAGAGACATATCATAATGGCTATTGACAAAAAGAATTCACAGTAAATAATCAGAAAGACCAGAACTAAAAATAATACATCAAGCGAAATATTGTACAGAGAAATAGAGAATAGTGATAGAAAGAGGAAGAAAATACAAAGATACTTACAATAACCAACAATGTAATAGCATTAGATGTACAAAAAAGAAATAAGTCAAGAATATAAACATTGCTTTAGGTCTAGGTTGACTTCGCAGACGAAATGAAGTAAATCTTATACCACTAGACATTCCGGGTGTTAGTTGTTGACTACGTACAACCAACTGCTTCAATAAAACAGATAGCCAATCCTTTAGGTTAACTACAACAATAAGGATAATAAAAATAAAATGGTATTATTGAGTAAAGAAAATAACTTTTAGTTCTATTCAAAGTTACATGAGACGCACAATCCTGAAAAGAGAATAAACTTAAATACTAAAAAATGCAGCTAAACATTCAATATAACCGGTAGTACGATCAATGTTATGGACGGCTGCAAGATTCCTGAAACGTTCAATATCACAAATTCTATTTCAGTAAACGTGTAGTGTCTGTTATTATGTTAAGCCCATATACCTTATTCTAGCTTTCGGACAGCCCAATCTATTCATTCTACTTGAGTCATATTTTGACCTTGTTAATTATTCGCTTATCAACCTTGACTGTTTTTATATGAGCGCGTAGGTGTGTGTACACTTCTTATCCCATTACTCATCACATGTCTGTAACTTAGTTTTGTGGAACTATAATTATTGATTAACGCTTGACTAAAGGGGAGTTGGCTTACCCGCCATCTCCACTGCGCGTCGTTTTGCTTCGTTCTATTCCATTCGCTTCATATACAAAATATATGTATCCGAAAGTCCATTCCCGTTATTTGACTTATTTAATTCCGTTATTGACTAACGCGATTTAAGTCAATGATTATATACGAGGATAGGCGACATATACAATTCAATAACAACCATTCATGCGATCTATTTGGAGTCAGATCCACGGGCCACTAAAGTGGAGGGCCCTTCGACAACATCGTCCAATCTAAATGACGACAAAATAAAGGGGCCCACAAAAAAACGTAACACATCGAAGTACCATGTTTTTACACTACACTAGTAATATAAATGCTTCAGTGAACTAAGACCCTGAAAGTGAACAATTTTTATCACCTACTGACTGGGTCAATGAGTCAATTGATCTTGAAACTTTTCTGACAGTCTCAACATAATAATGATAATATAATAGTACACTCAACATAAAAGTAATACACAACATACAAAAATTATTCTATATTCTTTGCTCGTAATACAACTCCTCAGCAGTGCGCATCCACGATCCCACTCTCAGGATTCAAACTCACGACATTTGCTATTTGGAGAAAATCAGAGTAAATGTTCTTGGACCTGTGTAGTCGATCATAACTTATGCCATTCAAGAAGTTCATAATCATCAACTACTATCGACCAATAGATTATAATCTAGGTTTCATAGCTTCATGAATCCCTTAAACAAGTAACCCAGTGATAATTCCACATGAAACTCTTACTTCAATTTACCAAACGTGGTGCATAGAGGAAGAGAATGTCTAGGTGTGTACGAAATGTCCAAAAACACCTTAATTCAAGTGGATTAACAAGGGATTTTCGTTCATCACTTATCAGTTCAACATAGTAGTAAGTGAGAAGTTGAAATACAAGTCAAATATAAACATAACTAATGAAGTTATCAGAGCGGCATTTTCTAAACAGGAAACTATTCTTAGAAGTTTGTGTTTGTCAAACTTTGTCTGGAAATCTTCTAGAATTTTATCCAAAGAAACAGTATAGTATAGTATATTCATTGGACTAAATGGTGAACGCAAAAAAATCTAAATAACCATAAGATATAACAAAGGGTGCTTCTTCATAAAATAACCATATGATTAGAACTTACGGTACTTCAGGTCCAACAGAATATGATGTCACAGGCTTTTGAGATGTTGGACAATATTTCCCAAGAAGTATTTGACTTCTACGAAGTTCCTGTGTACGCTCATACAAAGAGTCTTCAAGTAACGCGACCTGAGTAAAATATATGTACAATAATGTTAAGTTGTTTCATTATGTCAACCAATAAAATCAAATGCTTCAAAGAAAAATCCTTTTAACAAAACGTAACTAACCTGTTCATCCAATCCTTCAATGGTTGCTTTTAAATGTGCACGTTCTACAGTTGCATGACATAAGCGTTCTTTTAAAGTAAGAAACTCTGCATTACTTGCCTTCAACTGATCCATAGCCATAATCGCTTCCTCCTCAGCTACTTTTAGTCGCTGTAACAACTGAGAATGTAACGAATCTTCATTAACACTTTGGCTCGGGTTAACCAAGTTATCATGCTTTAATTCACCAATTGAATGAAGCATTGAATTTCGATAACTATTTATTGCGGCTTCATTGTCGTTTTCCATTAATGATACTGGTGCCGATTTATTGGATACATGAAGGTTATTTAACTGAACCTCACTTAGGTTGCTTGGTTCGTTTACACTACCATGTTTTAAACTTCCATCAACCAAAATTACACCAGATGAAGAAGTTTCGCATGAAGTTATGTCATTGCCTACCACCAGTCAAAACAGATAAGAACAAAAACTATAATAACTATAAGATAACTATGTACAAAGCAAAGATCAATTAATTTCCAGTGAAACAGTTCATCTGAGAAATCTCATCATACCACCTAAATATGAAAGGTAGCACTACAATAGATTAATTATCCTTAAAAATATTCTTAAAACTCTGATGCCTAACCCAAATACTACTTCGTTAGTTGTAGCTAACGAGAAGTCAGGTGGGAAAGACCAATTTATTGTTGAATGCAAAAATTACAGAGTATCTTCGTAAAATATGAAAACCATACATTAAATATTTCATTTGCACATCTTCCGTCAGTTTTCTCTTACAAACTTCACCGTTCCTTTATTCCAGTTCTTATCACAATTACTCTCTTTATATTCTTGTTCTCTTCAATTCGATCTTCCCAATCTTAGGCTGACAGGCATTCTGTTATATCCTAGTGAGGATATATATATATATATATATATTCCTATTGTATAACTGTTCAGTAACTAGATTATGTATATCTATATTCCTCTTATTACAAGCTTCATTTAGGCCTATAGATTATGATTAAACGATTTACTGTTCTAAAGTTATGTTCAGTTAATCGATTACAGCCTCCCACGTTCACAGCCACTTTTTAGCTTCAACTTGTATAAACGTTATTTCCTATTTTATAGTGTGATGCGGTCTGTTTGGCTGGTATATAAACCAAGTATGTTCGAAATAAATGATTCACATAGTGGAAGCTGTTATTGGCTTTCTGCAATCAACTGGACGGGCTAGAAGAACAAAGGACCAATAAGGACGCTAGGCTGCTCATACCGGTCGAACGTCATTGGTTTAGCAGTGATAAGATTAAATAAGTCGTATTTCGATTGGCGAATAAATCCACCGGCTTCTGATACGTGTTACATACTACTTATATCTGTTGACGTAAGCAGCATACACCACAAGTACTCTGATTTCTTTCCTTTGTAAAGATAAATGCAAATAAATGATAACTGGAGTATAAACTTAATCTGAATACATATACGTGCAAATAGGCTCAAATCCAATACACCGCAGTTATCGACAGGGAAAATTACAACAAAATGTATAAATCAAACGATCATTGTCATCACTAAATTCTTATTGCCTACTAAATTCTCTAATTATGGGACATTCATATTCGTGATCAGGATGTTTCAGGTTGAGCAGACTGCAGAATTTAACAAAAGATATAGTCCGTAAAATGAAATAACAAAAACCAAATAACAGGAGGATTGAACGTCTAAAATTTACCTATGATGAATGGTTCCGTTTGAACATATTTACAATTTTCAACCGGGAGATGTGGTGAGATGTTATCGTATCCACCAATAGGGTCAATAGCTACATCAACCTTTTGGATAAAATCAGTTGCGGGAATATCATTCAACAAATCTGTTTGAACGAAACTGTCCATAAAGTGTGACTTGTGTATTGCTTTCTTCTTAAAGGCACTGTCCTCACAAACAAAATTCTGATGATTTATTATATTCCCTTGATGATCGATTAAATCAGGAAACGGGTTCATTTTAGATTGTTTACGTTGTAAAACATCGTTGAGACGTTGAAGTTTTTGACAATTTGTACAGCTTGAGGAATCGGATGAGTTTGTATTCACCAAACTATTAAGTTTGCTTGAAGAAATGCTTTGTGGTATAAGGCGATTTAACTGCATCCGTAAAGCTCTTGCATTTGAATTTGCTTCAGCTAACTGACCCCGAAGTCTTGATGTCTCACGATCATCATCTTCTCTTTGACGTGCCATATCTAATCGCAATTGAGTAAGCTCATTTTGAGCAATAGATAATCTCAGTTTTAAATCGTCGATACTTAAAGTATCTACATCTTGCAGTTCATTATTTGTGTGTACATTTCTTAGTAAATTCTCAATCACAACTATGAAGTAAATGTAAAAATAATAATACTCACATTATTGAAAGTTTTACTTATTTACACTTATCTCTTATATCGGTATCATATACGAAGTAGAGAGATTGTAAATCGAATAATGAAATGAATGAAAACGGAGTCACACTTGACCAGGTTTGAATCCCACTACATCTATTTCCGTTTGGGCGAACGAGTATTATCATTAGTTCTTACACTTTGATTATGGCTCATACCCAAGAACCTGGTGAATCAGTGGTCTAGTGGTTAAGTGCTCGCGCGCGAAACCAGTAGGTCCTGGGTTCGAATCTCGCAGGGGGCGAGGTCGTGGGTGCGCACTGCTGAGGAGTCCCATAATGGGACGAAACGGCTGAACAGTGCTCCCAGGTTTTCCATGGTGGTCTAACTTCAACTGACTCATGATCTTAATCATTGAAATTACTACAATCTCCACAAAACTCCTTCTGATTATATCATAATCACCAACAAACAGAATGATATAATGATATCAGAGCAATAAAACGGAAAACACTATTTATCAAACATACGGTAGTATGGAGTGATTAAAATGATTAAATTCTTTGTCTACCAGGAGGTAGCTTATTCATCATTTGATATTGAAAGGATTTTAGCATATTTAATAATTTGTGACTGATAAGATACCTACAGGATCGATTAAACTTAGTTCATCAGTATTTCAGACTGTCCTATGGAAATATAAAGCAAATAGTCGAGTACTTAATCAACTATGGTGTCAACGCTCTAGTTGCATAATATGAAAACCTAGGAGAGATGAAGCATAGTTTTGAAATTACATCTAAGGGAGAAATACATCATTCATAAAGATGATAATAATTGCTTTATTTCGTACCATACGTCTGAACTTCCAAGCGAATTCTCAGCTTAATCAGCCAATATATTTGTCCAAATAATTAAGATCAAAAGAGGTGATCGCATTAGCAAATACAAACTGTTGATAGATCATTTATTGAGTACTACAACGCATTGTTTGAAATACAAAATATTATCATCTCGTCGAATTTACATAATAATTGGTTTTTCAGAAATTACATATGGTTGTATTTAAATACATCTGCAACTGTATATCGAAACACAATTTCGTGAGTGTCTATAGTGCATGACTTAAAACCCAATACATGGAGTAACATATAGTTATTCAGTTTCTTTTATTCCTTGCTTTAACCCTTAAGTGTGTCACATCAACGCACTGGGACAGTTCCAGTAAGCAATAATTTCAAAATGCTCAAATAAAAAGAGTTAATAAAACGCGTGACGGAGGAATCATTAGTGTAAAAGAATAAACTTGACAAAATTATTACAAAAACACACAGAAGAATACAAGCTCTCTTACGAGTAAGACGACACAACTTAGATTACTTATCTGTCGGTAAGGAAACACTATAATAAACGTTTCATATCATTAAACTAACGATAAGAGATTAACACAATAAACTAACAATTGAAAAGCAAGAGACAGATAGGCGTGAGATCAAATCAGTCACTAGACACAAACAAATTACAACACATTTAAATCTTATAAAGCACAAACCTCGCATATTGTGGTCCAAAGAACTAGTGTTCAGATTTGTTTTACTGAAGAATAATTTCAACTGTTCTAATAAAGCAGTTGCTTTAGCTAATTGATTACGTAAATGAGTAATCTCCATAGTAGTTCTACGTTTTTGTGCTTCATAATTTCTTTGATGATGACGAATAGTATCTACACTGGAATCCAGTTCAGTACCCATATGATCTAATCGTTCTTGTAATTTATCAATACGTGTTTTTTGATTTATACGGTGTTTTCTTAAACGATCCAGTTGACCAACTGCATTTAATAAAGCCTCTTGTAATTCACACTTCGTTGGTTCATCGGATTCAGAAAAACTAGAATGTCTCAGTGTGCGATTGAGAACATTCCTTGGATTAACCAGTCCATATTTTAATAACTAAAAATGAAATAGTGAGAAATGATTTATAAACTCAATGAATCATTTGTTGACTGGTGGTAGGCAATGACATAACTTCATGCGAAACTTCTTCATCTGGTGTAATTTTGGTTGATGGAAGTTTAAAACATGGTAGTGTAAACGAACCAAGCAACCTAAGTGAGGTTCAGTTAAATAACCTTCATGTATCCAATAAATCGGCACCAGTATCATTAATGGAAAACGACAATGAAGCCGCAATAAATAGTTATCGAAATTCGATGCTTCATTCAATTGGTGAATTAAAGCATGATAACTTGGTTAACCCGAGCCAAAGTGTTAATGAAGATTCGTTACATTCTCAGTTGTTACAGAGAATAAAAGTAGCTGAGGAGGAAGCGATTATGGCTATGGATCAGTTGAAGGCAAGTAATGCAGAGTTTCTTACTTTAAAAGAACGCTTATGTCATGCAACTGTAGAACGTGCACATTTAAAAGCAACCATTGAAGGATTGGATGAACAGGTTAGTTACGTTTTGTTAAAAGGATTTTTCTTTGAAGCATTTGATTTTATTGGTTGACATAATGAAACAACTTAACATTATTGTACATATATTTTACTCAGGTCGCGTTACTTGAAGACTCTTTGTATGAGCGTACACAGGAACTTCGTAGAAGTCAAATACTTCTTGGGAAATATTGTCCAACATCTCAAAAGCCTGTGACATCATATCCTGTTGGACCTGAAGTACCGTAAGTTCTAATCATATGGTTATTTTATGAAGAAGCACCCTTTGTTATATCTTATGGTTATTTAGATTTTTTTGCGTTCACCATTTAGTCCAATGAATATACTATACTATACTGTTTCTTTGGATAAAATTCTAGAAGATTTCCAGACAAAGTTTGACAAACACAAACTTCTAAGAATAGTTTCCTGTTTAGAAAATGCCGCCTGATAACTTCATTAGTTATGTTTATATTTGACTTGTATTTCAACTTCTCACTTACTACTATGTTGAACTGATAAGTGATGAACGAAAATCCCTTGTTAATCCACTTGAATTAAGGTGTTTTTGGACATTTCGTACACACCTAGACATTCTCTTCCTCTATGCACCACGTTTGGTAAATTGAAGTAAGAGTTTCATGTGGAATTATCACTGGGTTACTTGTTTAAGGGATTCATCAAGCTATGAAACCTAGATTATAATCTATTGGTCGATAGTAGTTGATGATTATGAACTTCTTGAATGGCATAAGTTATGATCGACTACACAGGTCCAAGAACATTTACTCTGATTTTCTCCAAATAGCAAATGTCGTGAGTTTGAATCCTGAGAGTGGGATCGTGGATGCGCACTGCTGAGGAGTCCCATACTAGGACGAAACGACCGTCCAGTGCTTCCAGGTTTTCCAAGGTGGTGTAGCTTTAATTGACTGATGAATTCAACTATTAAATTACTAAATATCCGATTATCCTGTACCTGTTTTCTTAATTTATTCTACTTCACTTAAGCCAGTCTTAAGATTTCCAATGGATATTCATGATTCGTGAATTTCAGGAGCAAGTTTAAAAGTTCAGTAAGATGTTAGCTTCCAGTACATTTTCACATCTGTACTACGTGTATATTATTGTATATAACTCAATGGCTTTTTATTTAATACATTGAACTCTTGGACTCGAATCGTGTCACTAGTGCTTACACTAGAAATGTGAGTCGAAGCCACGTCTCTGAAGAAGTGGCTTGCACTGAGTCACGAAACGTCAGAAAATCTAATTCCTCTACTCATTGGGATATTATAAACATGTTATTTTTATTTCTAACAATCTACCCCATGCTCAATTTATTTGAAATGATCAAGTCGAACCTCGTTAATGATACTTGCAATACGTGTATTATGGTGTAGATCATATGAATATTTTCTTGCTTGTTATTTCTGTCTAGGACATCGGAAATATTTATTAAAATACATGAACCAAACAATAATTATACAGGCGAATCAGCAGTTGTTAATTTGAGAGGTGTTCTTCAATCTTTTGAACCTACAGAATCATTTCTACGTTCTGTTCCCATCAGATTTAAATCGTTACATCAATTAAGTAAGATTTTGTATTATGCTTACTGTATAACGTATTCTTCTTGTGCGAACTTGCTTTTAACTGAATAAATGTAATTTATATAACAGTTGTATTACGAGCAAAGAATATAGATTAATTTTTGTATGTTGTGTATGACTTTTATGTTGAGTGTACTATTATATTATCATTATTATGTTGAGACTGTCAGAAAAGTTTCAAGATCAATTGACTCATTGACCCAGTCAGTAGGTGATAAAAATTGTTCACTTTCAGGGTCTTAGTTCACTGAAGCATTTATATTACTAGTGTAGTGTAAAAACATGGTACTTCGATGTGTTACGTTTTTTGTGGGCCCCTTTATTTTGTCGTCATTTAGATTGGACGATGTTGTCGAAGGGCCCTCCACTTTAGTGGCCCGTGGATCTGACTCCAAATAGATCGCATGAATGGTTGTTATTGAATTGTATATGTCGCCTATCCTCGTATATAATCATTGACTTAAATCGCGTTAGTCAATAACGGAATTAAATAAGTCAAATAACGGGAATGGACTTTCGGATACATATATTTTGTATATGAAGCGAATGGAATAGAACGAAGCAAAACGACGCGCAGTGGAGATGGCGGGTAAGCCAACTCCCCTTTAGTCAAGCGTTAATCAATAATTATAGTTCCACAAAACTAAGTTACAGACATGTGATGAGTAATGGGATAAGAAGTGTACACACACCTACGCGCTCATATAAAAACAGTCAAGGTTGATAAGCGAATAATTAACAAGGTCAAAATATGACTCAAGTAGAATGAATAGATTGGGCTGTCCGAAAGCTAGAATAAGGTATATGGGCTTAACATAATAACAGACACTACACGTTTACTGAAATAGAATTTGTGATATTGAACGTTTCAGGAATCTTGCAGCCGTCCATAACATTGATCGTACTACCGGTTATATTGAATGTTTAGCTGCATTTTTTAGTATTTAAGTTTATTCTCTTTTCAGGATTGTGCGTCTCATGTAACTTTGAATAGAACTAAAAGTTATTTTCTTTACTCAATAATACCATTTTATTTTTATTATCCTTATTGTTGTAGTTAACCTAAAGGATTGGCTATCTGTTTTATTGAAGCAGTTGGTTGTACGTAGTCAACAACTAACACCCGGAATGTCTAGTGGTATAAGATTTACTTCATTTCGTCTGCGAAGTCAACCTAGACCTAAAGCAATGTTTATATTCTTGACTTATTTCTTTTTTGTACATCTAATGCTATTACATTGTTGGTTATTGTAAGTATCTTTGTATTTTCTTCCTCTTTCTATCACTATTCTCTATTTCTCTGTACAATATTTCGCTTGATGTATTATTTTTAGTTCTGGTCTTTCTGATTATTTACTGTGAATTCTTTTTGTCAATAGCCATTATGATATGTCTCTACTTTCTTCCTATTCTTCATGATTTGATGTTACTATTTTATTTTTCTGCAAACCTGTGTTAATTTTCTTATTTATGGCAAATGAATTTCTCGATAAAATAAAATACATACTTATAAACATACTTGTAGTTTGTCTTTTCACTTGCTTTCCTGATGAATTTGTGTATGCATATTATTTATAAGACATATGTCTATTCGACTCGTCATGTGTGCATTTAGCATAAGATTGGTGTTTTCGTAATGGGTTTACACACCGAATCATTAGCGATGAATAAGGTTATTAAAATGGCATGTTCGCTCCAGTTGATGTTGCCGTAGTCCTTATAATAATGTTTTATGTTTTATACCAAGCGATCTGAAAATATCAATAATTACTGATTTTTAATTGTTTGCAGAATGAAGGATTAGAGATCAAGCTTGAGCAGTTGATTAGGTAATCTTCGTGTGAATACAGTTTCGTCATATTTTGGTAAATTGCCGTAATACGTAACATGTATTGTGTTATACCGTATAATGAAGGAGTTGTAATTTCTATTATTTGTATAAGCTAATCGGCGGCCTGCTTGAATATCTGGGCTACCTGTTCCCTCCCATCTAGATATTTCGTCAAGTTATCCGTTTTCGTGCGCGTTTACGAAAAGTTTACAACCTTTCGCTGTACGGATTACAAAAAGGTACAACCAGAGACATCATGGTGGCTTGTAATATGCTTTGAAACGAATGAACATTATTCAGATGTCGATTATCGAACTCCTAACATCTAATTGGCCAGCACTCAATATTTATCGTCAGGATCGATCAAGATATAAGCAAAAGAAACTTGTTAAAATACTTTATGCTGAGAATTCAATAGTGTACCACAAATATAATGTTGAATAAAGCATATAATAATAACAATAATAATAATAATAGCTAAAAAATTGCTGGACTGCTAATTAGATATTATCATTGTAGTTTAGTGGTTTGTGGTAAGATCTCTGAGAAGCGATCAATCCCATGTTTGTTTAGTTCTATAATTGTTGATCAAGTAGCATTGTAGCCACTAGTTTAGGTGAGTCGACAACGCATGCACTGTGTTGGAATGTTAAGCAGTGGTTGGAGGTATTTACACATCGAACATCTTTATACTTGTAATCATATTGCTACAGAGTCTTAACAATTCTATTTGATAGTTTACCGTGTTTATGAACAAATATGCTTGAATAATGTAGGCATTTTCATCTAAATCTCTAGGAATACATGTAATAAGTTGTATTTTTGCTGTTTACCAATCTTTCGTAATCAATAACCATGCGTTATATTG